AAATCTGGAACACTTCCACTGTCAAGCATTTTGCATAAGCAACACTCCACCCATACTACCATTCATTCTTTCGAGCACTGTGGCAACAACTGGTCCCTGTTCCCTAGCTGGGGTGGCAGGGGGTGTGGGGGGTGCTGATCAGGTGGGCTCTACAGTTTTTCCTGGGACTCTTAGGAGGTTTACAATAATAGGGGACAGGGCTGGGGATATAGCTCAGTGGCATGAGTGCCTGCCTGGCAAGTACAAGGTCCTGAGTTTGATTCCCAGAACCAGAAGGTTGGGGGGCAGTGAGATAGCTCAGCAGACTAAGCTCCTGCTTAGGCAAATACAGGGACCAGGGTTCAATCCCCAGTACCACAGGCTATGCCGGCCCTGACCCCAGGCACACTGAGCCAGCCACCAAGTCCAGGCGTGGTGGTGCATGCCTATAATCCCAGTGCTGGGGAGGCTGAAAACAGGAGGATCACTACAAGTGTGAGTTGTATGGTGAGACCTTGTACCAAATGCGTAAAAAATAAAAAAATAAAAAAACAGTGGAGGCTGATAGTGTCTTGGGTGGCAGGGCTACTGGGCCTGGCTTTGTCTAAGGTGTGACATTTACTGAGGACCCAGGGTTCCTTCCCTCTGGTGCTTCCAGAGCCCCCTGCCTGTTCTCACTGTTCTGGCCTCCTTATGATTCTGGGTCTCCAGTAAGTTGTTTCTGCCCAGCAGCACCATCTCAAGAGGACAGGTGTAGTTTTCTGCTTGTAGTGTCACTATGTTGGCACTTTAAAAGTTTGTTTTCAGAGTTGAAAACATTTCAGATTGAGAATGCTCAGCCTTTAATATCAGTGGTTGAGGTAGGGGTATTATCCACATTTTACAGGTTCAAACTGGGTCATTGTTTCAAGAACAAGCCTAAGATACTCCAGGGCTTGAGCCTAGGTGTCTGATTCCTGTGCACACCCTACACAGCTCCCATAACAGGGGATCCCCATCAGAACGATCCAGGTGCTTTTAGGAAGAGGGAGCTTGACAGCAGACACCTGGAGAGGACCACTGTTTACCAGTCTTTGAATCCCAAGAGTTGTGGGTGCCATTCAACCTCAGAACATCACTAAGGAGATTCAGCTGCACCTGCTTAGAGAAGAGATTTGTGCATAGTCCAGGGCCTGCAAGAAATCTGTATGTATTCAAAAGGACCCAAAATAGATTGAGGGTTTCATACTGAGCTGAAAACCAAGTCATCAGCAAAGCCCATCTGTTGGAGGGTGCTTGACACAGCAAGTCAGGGTCACATCTGGCCTACTAGGTTTTCCCACCCAGCTAAATGTGGCCTCAGAGGACTAAGCCTGCTTCTACACCAATACCCAGGCAGACCTGAGGGCAGACCACATGCAGGTTGGGCTGCTGAACGAGGCAGGGCCTCAGCTGGCCTGCCACCCAACAGAGCAGGGCTGGGCTCGGCCCTCTTGGCAAATTCCTTTAAGCTTATAGTTCAGTGGCAGAAGCAGTCAGCAAATAGATAATGCACAAAAACATTTCCGTTTTCTCTGAGAAACCTGCAGTACCAATCAGTCTCCAAAGATTACAAACCAGAAGCCCTTGCCCAAATCCAGCCCACTTCTTACTTTGTGGACTGTCATCATAGCGTTTGTAGGTAATATTCCTAAGAAGAATTCAGGGCTAGGGATATGACTGGGGTTTAGGCAAGAGCACAAGGGCTTGGGTTCCATCTCCAGCATCACAAATAAATAACCTAGAAATACAGTCAAATAACAAAAAATAGCCAATGAAAAGTAAGGCCTCTCTCCTCCTTGTGATGCAGATTTCGGGACTGAGGATGTAACAGTGGCTTGCATTTGCACCGGGTGGGAGGCTGGACATGAATAATTAATTATAATCTTAAGTGCTAAGGAGAAGAGTGAAGCAGAAAAAGGCTTGGGATTGTCAAACAGACATACAATTCCTTCCCCAAAGGCAATCATGATTAGCTGTTTGTTTTCTTCCTTCCTTGTCTCTCTGCCTCTGTCTCTGTTTCTCTGACTCTCTGTCTCTGTCCTATGTCATCACACACACACACGCACACGCACACACACACACACACACGCGTGCGCACACACAGCATTGAAGCATTGATCCTGGGGCCTTGCGCATACTAGGCAAATGCTCTGCCCTAAGCTATATCCCAAAGCTGTTTCTTGAAAATCCTAAAATCCTGTGTGCATGGTAGTGTTATTGTCATTATTGATTTTGCTTTTGGAAGGTGTTGCCTACAATTCTAGATTTCTGAATTCTGAAAATTCAGATAACCTTGCCAAGCATGGTAAGTCACACCTATAATCTCAGTATTCCAGAGGCTGAGGCAGAGGATCTCTTCAAGTTCAATGCCAGCCTCAACTACAGAGAGACCCTGTCTTTTTAAGAAAAGAAAATTGGGAGAGCTAAGATACATGTGCCTCTTAACAAGGTGCTCCTGCTCTCTGGTTCACCATGGGCTCCTCCTGGTCTCTCTCCTATCCATCTCCCTGAAGTAACCCAGCCCTGTGGGCTTCCCTGTTTCTTCCCCCTTCTGTGGCAATGCCCCGCACTGTCTCCATGGGGGTCTTTGGGGTTGCTCCTGTGCTTACAACTGTCGCCACTTCCCCTTTCCACTTCTGGTGCTCCCTTCCCCTGAATGCATGGGCTGCCCTCACTGCTTTGCTCCATGAATCTGCTTCCTGTTTCCCTCCTGATTTCTCTTTGTTGGTTTGCTTATTGCCCCTCTGGACACAAATTAAGAAAAGCCCACTGTGGGCTAGGAAATATAGCTCAGCAATACAGCACCTGCCTGGCAAGCTCAAGGTCCTGGGTTCAATTCCTGGTACCAAAAAAAGGAGAAAGCCTACTTCACACACACTGGAAATTATGTTTCTTTGTGTTTTGGGTTTGTTTTTGTTTTGTTTTGCGGTTCTGGGGATTTAACTCAGGACCTTGCACTTGCCAGGCAAGTGCTTATTCTACTGAGCTATCTCCCCGGCCCACACTGGAAATTACAAGCTAGCGTGGCTATGCCTGGCTATAGAGTATAAGGGACAGAAAAGTTACTGGTTGTTTTGAGCCAGTGTCCAACCCACTCAAAACTTCTGTGTGCTGAACAAAACTAGTGCTGTTGACAGGAGAAAGCTGGGGCAGCCAACAGGTTTGGTCAAGGATAGTGAGCTCCCTTTCCTTCCTCTCCAAGAGTTTCCTCTTATAGAAGTTCAAGGTAGCACCCAAGGGAAGTGTACTTGTAGACTACTGGACAGAAGCATGAATTTCTTTCCCCGGAGGCCTGCAGATGAGAATGTACTTAACCTAGGGTTAGGCATAGACTGTCTTTCATACAGTCATTCACACTGTAAACAGTAACCAAGCAGCCTGGACACCAGTCTAGGTGACCGAAGTATATCTGTGAACAACTCCAGCATGTCTGCTGTCCAGGGGCTGACTGACCAGTGGAGGAAACAGTAATACAGCGTACAGATAATGCACAAAACAGTTTTGACTGGTAGCAGTTGCCAAGAAAAGCCTAAAGGAAGTAGGGTGGGTGATAGAGAAAGGCTTGGAGATGGGGGTTCTCTGGCTACATAAGCTAGTTTGGGAAGTCTGGAAAAGTTGCCGTTGTGGGAAGAAGCCAGTGGGGCTCGTGTTGACTCATCTGTCATTTTTGCTTCCCTTCTGGCAGAGTGGCTGGGTAGAGGGGACTGCAGGGAAGATGGACAGTTGCCTGCCCTCTCAAGTAGAAAATACAGCAAAGTATTAAATGGCACCACATGTATCTTGAAAGTAGAAACTGCCCAGGACAGTGATCCCCTTCCTTCAACAAATAAAGAGGATCAAAGTAAAAAATGGCTGCCATAGAGTAGATGAGATTTAAGGAAAACATTCTGCCAAAGCAGAGTGTGATTCCCATTTGGAACCTCATTTGAACAAATCAACTCAGTCAAAGAGACCTTTGAGACAACTGGGATGGGGTTGGGGAGTATCTAATGCAGACAATTATAAGACAGTAAAAAATTCTTATGAATTCAGATGGGTATCACAATAGCCTCATGGTCATCTTATTTAATAACCTTAACTGCCGGAGATACAACTTGCAAGATGAAACACCTGCTACTTGGATTTACTCTGAAATATTGTCAGGGCCAGGGTGTGGCTCCTTGGTGGAGCACTTGCCTAGCATGTGTAATCCATGGCTTCAGTACCCAGCACCACATAAAAAAGATAAAATATTGTAAAAAAAAAAAAAAAATGGCTGAGTGAACAGATGAAACAAGATAGCAAACGATGCTCTTTGGAACTGTTTTTGAGCGTGATTGAAAATCTCTGTACTAAGAAGTTTTTAGGCTGGGCATGGTGGCTCACACCTGTAATCCCAGCACTTGGGAGGCAGAGGCAGGAGGATCATTGCAAGTTCAAGACTAGCCTGGGCTACAAAGTGAGCTCAAGGCCAGCCTGAGCTGCATAGCGAGACTCTATCGCAAAAAGACAAAAAGAAAAAAAAAAAAAAAAAGATTTTAGGGTCAGGGATATAGCTCTGTGGCACTGTGTCTACCTGGCAAGCATGAGGTTCTGAGTTTCATTCCCTGTACCTTCTAAAAAAGAGAAGTTTTAAAAAATAAGTATACCTGCCCAAAAGTAAGTAAAAGCCACTTGTCCTATTTTCTGGGAGCAATAAGAGGTTTACCCCATCTCATGTTTTACTTTCCTCCTCTTTCAGCATGGCAGAGAAGAAGCCCTTACTGCCTGCCAAGCCCTACCTGCTGCTGCTGCTTGCTCTGCTCTGCTGAGCCACTCCATCTGGAGCCCCCATGGACAGCACCTGCCTCTGAGGCTGTCCTGGCTCAGCTGTCCACAGCGATGGTGGAGAACTGGACTGCACAGGCTCACAACCTTCACATCTGGTTTCAGGGACCAGCATCCTTCATCCTGGGACTGGTGGCCCTGAACAATGGCTGAGGCCCAGGGGACCCCATAGAGTCACACCACAGCTTCTGGGGGCCAGCAGTACTCCAGTGGACTATGACCACCTATCGGACCCTTCCCAATGATGGTGTGGACCTGGCAGCCAGCTGTGGGGCCAGGAGCACCGATGTCCTCCCAGGGGCACACACAGGGGACTACACTTCCATGGGATTCTGGGCCCAGAATGGCAGCATGTCCCAGCCTCTTGGTGAGAGCCCAGCCACCGCTACCACCCGCCCCAGCCCCACTACCCCTGCCATGCCCAAGATGGGTGTGCGTGCACGGGTGGCTGACTGGCCACCCAAGCGAGAGGCCCTGAGGGAACAAAACAACCCAAGCCCCTCACAAGACACAGATGGCGTGAAGGCCACCAAAGTGACCCATTCCATGAGAAGCATACAGAATGGACAGCCCCCTGCCAGCACCCCAGCCTCCTCAGGGTCTAAAGCCTTCCACCGAATCTCAAGGAGAAGGTCCAAAGATGTGGAATTCCAGGATGGGTGGCCACGGTCCCCCGGCAGGGCCTTCCTCCCCCTGCGGCACCGCAGCAGTAGTGAGATCACCCTCAGCGAGTGTGATGTAGAGGACACCGGGGAGCCTCGGGGTACCCGGCACACCAGTGGGGCACTGCCACTCTTCCGAGAATATGGCAGCACATCCTCCATTGATGTGCAGGGTGTACCTGAGCAGAGCTTCTTTGACATCCTTAACGAGTTCCGAAGTGAGCAACCTGAGATCAGTGGGGCTCAGAGCCTTGGTGAGCTCCTGCAGGCAGACTCTGGGCATGGGGCAAAGGGGGACTCCCACAATGGGCAGCTCCCCAAGGACAGCCTCCTCCCACTGCAGCCCTTGAAGGAGAAGGAGAAGGCCCGGAAAAAGCCCACCCGGGGCCTGGGCTCTGGAGATACTGTGGACTCATCCATCTTCCGCAAACTAAGGAGCTGCAAGCCCGAGGGGGAAGTCAGCCGGACCCCAGGTGAGACTGAGGAGGGTCGGAGCCCCCCAGAAGCCAGCAGGCCCTGGGTTTGCCAGAAGAGCTTTGCCCACTTTGATGTGCAGAGCATGCTGTTTGACCTCAATGAGGCAGCTGCCAACAGGGTGTCAGTGGCCCAGAGGCGGAACACCACCACTGGGGCCTCAGCCGCCTCCGCTGCCTCAACCATGGCATCCCTCACAGCATCGAGGGCCCACAACCTTGGGGGCCTGGACCCAGCCTTCACCAGCACTGAGGACTTGAACTGCAAAGAGAACCTCGAGCAGGACCTGGGAGATGACAACAGCAATGACCTGCTGCTCAGCTGTCCACACTTCCGAAACGAGATCGGCGGGGAATGTGAGCGCAATGTAAGCTTCTCCCGGGCCTCGGCGGGCTCCCCAGGCGAGGGCCACCTGGCTGAGCCTGCCCTGAGCACCTACCGCACCAATGCCAGCATCTCGGTGCTAGAGGTGCCCAAGGAGCAGCAAAGGACGCAGAACCGGCCCCGGCAGTACAGCATTGAGCATGTGGACCTGGGTGCCCGCTACTACCAGGACTACTTCGTAGGCAAAGGTGAGGGGATAAGTGGGTCGGGCTTGTCTCGGATGCCTCACTGCTTATGTGTCTCCTCTGAGCCAGGCTGTGCTCCTCGTACCCTCAGTACAAGAGGAAATGGGACCTGCCTGCTGAAGAGCATGAAGACCCAGCACGCAGAGCCATTCTGGCATTAGCTTTGTGTCTGATGCCTGGCTAGCACTCTGTAGTCCCTGAGCTACACGAGACCATAGGTTCCCAGTTATTCTGCAAACACAGGCTCGGTGCAGTATGTGCTGGGCACTTTCTAGAACCTGGGAATGTAATATTGACTGACTTCTGACAAAAATCCTGTCTTCCTAGCACTTAGTATATTAGTAGAGTAAGATAAACAACAAAAGACAATTATATACCCAAAATATGTAAGGTAGCATGCAGTGCTAAGTGCTGTGGAGAAGAGGGAAAAGGAGGAAGAAAATGGCAGGTAACAGTTGCAGGTTTCAGTAGGGGCTAGTCAGGGAAGGCCTCCTCAGAGGTACCATTTGAGTACTGAGCTGCAAGAGTTGAGAAAGGAAGATGTGTGGAGGTGGGGAACAGTGTTCTTGAATGGGGATCAGCAGGTACAAAAATAGAATTAGCAGGACAGGTGGAGCACATCTATAATCACAGCACTTTTAGAAGCAGAGGCCAAAGGATCACAAGTTTGAGCCCAACCTGGACAGTTAAGCTTAGTGAGACCCTGTATCAAAACAACAAAGGCTGCAGATATAGCCCAGCAAGAAGGCTCTAGGTTCAATTCCTAGAATTGGTGGGGGTTAGGGGGAGTCCTGGAATGTTAGAGGACCCGGTGAGAGGCCAGAGTTGCTGGGATAGTGGCTGCGGGAGAGTGGGAGGGGCCATGGCAGACAAGTGGCAGGAATAGAGCACGTGGGACTGTGGGCTGCGGTGAGGACTCATGTCTGTCCTGAAAGAGAGGCCATCACTCAGGAGAGCTCTGAGCAGAGCACTGACACGTCCATGGCCTCCCTCTAGTTGCATGTCAGGAGCAGGCTTGTGTTTGGGGGTGAGCAGGGAGATCAGGCAGGAGATGATGGTTGGTAAGTCAGGTAGGAGCCAAGAGTAGGGCAGAATCATATAAACCAATTCCAGATTCATTCGAAGGGTAGAGCTTGTATGTGTATGAATGATGGAAGGGATGACTTCAGGCATCAGTAGTGTCCTCAGTGCTAAGGGGCCAGTTGTAGAGGGCAGCGCAGCCTGGCATAGAGGCCCCAGAGCAGACCAAGGCAGCAGATGTACGGACGGAAAGCTTCTATGCAGGAACCTGGCCACTTTAGCCCACTCCTGTTACACAAGAAAAGCAGATAGGGCCAGGGATATAGCTCAGCAGCACAAGCGCCTGCCTGGCAAATGCAAGGTCCTGAATTCAAGTACCATTACCAAAAAGGAAAAGCAGATGAACACAATGTTGCTGTCTTTCCCAGTTCTTCAAGATTCTCTTGAAGTTCAGATCTTTTTAACGTAAACTGTCCTCTAATTTTTAAATACTGGCAACTGTATTGATTGAAAATTGCTTATAACTCTTAGTAACATGGTCAAATAATAAGTCTCTCTCATATAGAGAAGTCTAGGGCTAGGGAGATAGCTCAGTAGTCTAAGCACCTACTTCTCAAGCACAGGGACCCAGGGTTCAATCTCCAGCACCATATGCTGTGCCAGCCCCTGAACCCCAGGCATGCCTTGCCAGCTACCAAAACCAGGCGTGGTGGCACATACCTGTAATCCTCGCACTGAGGAGGCTGAAACAGAAAGATCACTATAAGCCCAAGCTGCTTAGTGAGACCCTGTACCAAATAAATAAATGATACTTTATAATTTTAAAAAAGGAAGTCTAGAGGTCAGCCCAGCACCCCTCTAAAGAGCTTTCTCAAGCTGGGTATGGTGGCATACCGCTGTAATCCCAGCACTCAGGAGGCTGAGACAGGAGGATCATTGCAAATTCAAGACCAGACTGGGCTACAAAGTGAGCTCAAGGCCAGCCTGAAGTGCTCAGCCAGACCCTGTCTCAAAAAGACCCCCAAAAAAAAGCGAGAAAGAGGAAGGGAGGGAGGGAGGGAGGGAGGGAGGGAGGGAGGGAGAGAGAGAGAGAGAGAGAGAGAGAGAGAGAGAGAGAGAGAGAAGAAAGAACGAAAGAAAGAGAAAGAAAGAGAGGCAGACAGGCAGACAGACTGACTCTCAGAAACCCTGGCCAATTGTTTGTTGACTACCCCTGTCTGGAAAGAGGCTGGGAGATGCAGACACTAGTTAGATAAAAATTCACCTTTTTTTTCTTCCCCAAAATAGAGGGGTTTAAGAAAGAATGTAGATAGCTACCCTAGTGTAGCAACTAGTTTAAAGAATTGTTAAAGCAGTAGCCTGAGGCTTGAGTATAGCTCCGCCCATGCACAGAGCCCTGGGTTCTGTCCTCAGTGCTAGTGGGAACATGTCCTGGTCAAGCATACCAGACACCAGCTAGCTCATCCCGCAGGCCTCCGAGCTCAGTCTCAAGGCCCGGTCTAGTGTCAGACCACCCCAGTTTGGAGTGTCTGTGCCATAGCTCAGCAGCTCTGTGACCCATTTCACCCCTCAGACTGTCCTCACGCAAGGAACAGAATTGACTCTGTGCCCAAGCCAAAAACGGCAGCAAGATTGAAAATAAAGAGATGAAAGAGGAAGTTTCAGACAGTTGCCAATCAAGAGAAAGCTGATGAGGCGATGTCAGTTACTTGAAATAAATTTCAAGGCTGGAAGAACTTCTTGGGAACAGAGGAGGCCATTCATGTTGATGTTTAGCATTCACTAAGGAGCTGATAGTGAGCCTGTAGCTGGGCTTAGGGGAAGATAAATAAGAAGCAGCCTACAGGGACAAGTGGACAGACCCACAGTCCGGGGGAGAAGTTGACAGATTCTGACAATGACACATCTAGTAGTGAAAATATAAGGACATACGGGCTCTGAATAAGTTCATCGGGCAACATGTGTGCATTAACTTTGTACTCAACAACACGTAGGAATATTTACATGAATGAAATGTGAAACAAATAAGATTGAGCATTAAAATATTTAGTTAGGCAAGTAGTTAGCACTCATGGAGCTTTTATACAATTTTCTTTTCTTTATCAAAAGTATCTTATTAGTGCAGGGTATGATGGTGCATGCCAATAATCCCAATACTCTGGGAAGCTGAGGCAGGAGGATCCAAAGTTTGAACCCAACCTGGGCAATTCAGTGACTTAGTGAGACCCGTCTCAATTAATCAGTCAATAAAAACTTTTTTGAAAGGCTGGGGATGTAGCTCAGTGCAAAGGCTCAGAGTTCAATCCCCACTACTACAAAATTATAAAACAACATGAAAAAGAATTTCTCTGTAGCTCTGGAAGCTGATAAATAACTTCATCATTGACCAGTGTTTACTGAGTACTGACTGTATACTGGAAGGTACTAGATATACACTGGTGAATACACCACCACCACCCTGTAGCTGCTTCGGGAATAAGCTGCTATCTGTGGAATAATGTTTATGCTTCTCTGTTTGTATTGGGGCCATTAGCTGCCACATTAAATTTTGAGGGCACCAGGATGAGGAGAGGCAATCACTTGTGCAGAAGATGCCAACTTTGTGGACTTGAGTCCAGATAGACTGAGGGTGGGTTCCTACCACATACAGAAAGGATGGTAAGGCAGCAGCTTGTTTTAGGCAGAGAGGGAAACAGCTGTCATTGAGGGGAGAGAGGAGATTTGCTCCCTCATTCACTAAAAGCTCCGTCTCCTTGAATGTAAAAGCACAGTGTTTAAATTACCTAGATCTAAAGAAACATGGTCAGAGAAAGGCGATGCCTAGGGACTTGTGTCATGGCCCCAGAACAAACATGATGCCTTGGGGGATGGTAAAAGCCAGCACTTGGGCCGGGCACTCACTGTTTCATCTTCACAACTGTGCTGTGGGCCTAGGCCACCCATAAGCCTGTTCTGCTGCCTGGGATGCTATCAAGTACTTGGCCTGGGCTGCATGGTTGATCTCACCCCAGATTTGCATTGGCAGGAAGCTCTCTAGAGTCTTAACCACTTCACAGGGGCTAACTGTCAGCTCAGGCAGCCAAAGCATGTGCAGACGGGATTAATGACAGCAGGGCTGAGTTTATTACACACCATGCGCTGTACTAAGTGTTCCATCTCTAGCCTCGAGTCACCCTCACATGAACTCCCTGAATTGTGGGTGGTATCAGGGTCCCCACTTCTCAAGTAAAAGTGCCAAGACCATGGCTGTGTCCATGTATGAGGTGTGTGTGAGCATGGTCCTGCCCTCCCACCCCCACCCCAGGCTTCCCATCCACAGGCCTGCCTCAGGATAGGACTCTCCACTCACCTGCTTTTACTTCTCAGAGCACGCCAATTATTTTGGCGTGGACGAGAAGCTGGGGCCAGTGGCTGTGAGCATCAAGCGGGAGAAACTGGAAGACCACAAGGACCATGGACCTCAGTACCAGTACAGGATCATCTTCCGGACTCGTGAGGTGGGTCCTGGCGCTGGCGTTACTGTTAGCCTTCACCTCTTACTCTGAGTTGGTGCTGGGCTCAGGGTGCTGCTCCTGTTCCTGCCCTATCCCATCCTGCGCACAGCCCAAGAGAGCTGTCCTGCCAGTCACTCCATTTTACAGAGGAGGAAACAAAGAGAAATGAAATGACTTGTACAGGATCAGTGGTACAGGCCAGGATTAGAATCCAGCTTGTGACTTCAGAGCTCAGGACTGCAAAACCTATTTGTAAGATTAACTTTCATCAACATATGAAATAATGGGGGAGGTAAGGGATCTTTTCAGGTTCCCGAGGTATCTTGCCACTGGATGGAGAGAATTAAGGTCACAGGCCTTGGGCAAGGCAGGAGCTGGAGAATCTCAGCAGACCTGCTGTTGTGTTGATGAGCTCAGAACACTCCCCTCCTCCCATTCTCAGCACAGAATCCCAATGTCCCTGCTTAGCCAGAGGCCTTCTTGACTAAAGGTCAGCGGTAGCCAGCAGAAAAGGCCTATTTAGGGCACCCCTATTCTAGTAAAAGCCTCAATTATAAGTAGCAGAAACCTGTTTCAAAGTGGCTTAAGCCAGAAAGAGTATTCACTGGTTTGTGTAACTGCACATCCTGGGGGTGGGGCTACCTTCAGGCCTGGCTGGGCTCAGAGACTCCACCCAAATCACCAGAACTCTGCCTCCCTGGCAGCTGGCTCAGCGTGGCTCTCCTTTGCATACTGAATATTATTGTCTTCTGCTACCTGCAAGCTTGCTCCAGGTCATTGGAAAAGGAGAGAGCTGTTCAGAACTGTTGTATCTTTATAGCTTCCCGGCCGTGAAGGTATTGACTCTAATCTACAAAATCTCTGGCTCTGAGCGGAATCTCAGCCCACACCCTTGGCCAGTCACTGCGACCAAGGGTAATAGAAGAAATTGGCCAAATCTAGGACATGCACTCCACCCCAGGGCCAAGGCCTGCCACTGTGATTGACAGTTCCCTGGAGCCACCCAGATAGGGGGGAGGACAGAACCTTAGCAAAGAGAGGAACAAGCCAAGCAAAAATGATAGAGGCTTCCAAAGGCCCAAGTAAGGCCAGCCTTTCCAGAACAGGGGGATTCATCAGCTAGGCAGGCCTCCCAAATTGGTCTGCCCATGGGCTTGGCCTCAGCCCAGGCAGGAGACCCAGCAGGTGACCACCACCAGGTCTTTGAATTTGAGCCAGCCAAGTCCTGGACTTCATCCAGGCTGGCAGATGCTGTGCCGAGAGCCCTTGCCACGTCCCTCAATGAAAACTTTCACTGGGATGTCCTGAAACTTTGTGGCAGCTGAGAGTGGGCCCCAAAACGCATGTTTGCAGACTTGCAGGTAGACCCCAGCCTGTGCCTTCCCCTGAGCACCAGGATAGTATATAAGGTAACAGTTCCTGTGGCATCAGAATGCTTCAGGATGTGAGCTTTGTGACACTACTAGGTTAGAAGACTGCACATTCATACACCAATGGGTGATGTGTCTCACAGCTGCTCTTACTGCTGCACATCTACCAAACTCCATGGCAGGCATTGTTCACTGTGTGCCCTTTACATATATTAATTCCCTGAAATCCTAACCCGACTCCCATGGTGAAACACTCGTGTCCTCACTTCTATAACAAAAGGCACAGAGCCATTAGGCACTTGCCCAAAGTCCCCTGAAGTAAGTGGTAGGCAGGGTGCATCTACGTTTCAGCCACTTCATGTTGGACTCATTCAGGAGTAATGGACTCACCTAACTTAGTGCCAGTGTTTCAGTGTTTTTGTTTTGTTTTGTTTTGTGGCTGCCTCAGCCCACCCTGGGGATAGGTCTGGCATAGCATGTAGTGCCTGGGATCGAACTGCAGTCCCTGTGCTTACCTAAGCTTGCCTAAGCAGGTGCTTTAGATGGCTGAGCTATCTCACCAGCCCAAGTGTTCCAGTTTTTAATGAAAACAGAATATGTAGGATGAATTTTTGAAATAACAGGTCCTATAGGTCATGAGACTTTAATGCATAGAAACAGCATCTGGATATAGCTTTGTCCTTTGGTTAGCAAGTTGGAAACAGGATTAATGCCATTGTTGGTTTGTGCCTGCTTCCATTTCCTACCCCTGGCATCCACCAAACTGGCCCAAGGGGGCTCTCGCCCACCCCAGGCTGTGCACCAGAATCCATGAATCTCCTAGCCATACCTAGATTGATCCAACCCATAGAGCTTCCTCAGCACTGCCTCCTGCCAGCCTTGAGCTAGACCTAAGCATACAGCAGCAACAAGCAGCAGAGGCTCAGGGACTTCTCTCTTGTGGTAGGAAAGACAACACGCCAGATAGCTTCATAGCTTGTGCAGTGTGATACATGGTGACAGGGTGAAAATAAAACAAGGAAATCTAGTGGGTGGTTAAATCTTGAGATGAGTGGTCAAGGGAGGTGTCACTGGAAGGTGACATTTGTGTAAAGACCTAAAGGAAGTAAAAGAGAAAGCCTAATGAGTATCTTACAGGAGGACATTCCAGGCAGAGGGGAAAGCCAGTACAAATGTCCTGAGGTAGTTCCATGTTTAATGTGTGGAAGCCCGGTCTGGGTTCTAGTTCTGCCACCCAGAAGCTGTGGAGCCCAGAGCGTGCAGCTTCTCTCTGAGCCATACTTTCCGCATGGCTATCCTAGGCTTACAGAACTATGTGTGACCTCTGTGCTATGTACAGACCCCTCCCCTTGTCACACCCAAGTCATCCTTGTGGGTTGTGGGTTGTGGTCCACCCTGAGGTACACACCCAGAAGCAAACTCTACCCTCACATGCACGGCCACACACAGAATCAGCCCTGGACTCTGCTCCCTGCAGGGCTACCCCTGTTGGGCCCTCAGGCCTATGGCCATCATCTAGGAGTGGCCTGTAAGATTTGTCTCTTCCTAAAGCCCCTCCTGTCACAGAGACAGAGTAGAGGGTCACATAACCCAAAAAGAGTAATGACAGTAGTGTTTGATATCCACTTATCCGTCACTTCTTCTCATTTGTCCCGTGATGGGGGTCCTGTCATTATCCTCATCCTACAGACAGGACTTTGGACCCCAGTGAGATCACCACTTGTCAGGGTCTGACAAAGACACGGTCCCCGGCTGCCCTTCTGCCGAGTCTGTGCCTGTAACCACTGCCCCATGGCACCTGTCAGGTCAGCTTTGAATCCTGGCTCGGGGATCAGACATCCTTCAGTTCAGTGTCCGGCATGTTCCGTAGTCATGTGGCTTTTCCTCTGTGCAGCTGATGCTCTTCGTCTGTAAAATAGGCTGTGAGCCTTGCCCTAGAGTGGTGGGAAGTGCTCTGGGTTGGGCCCCATGCAGTGGCAGCATGGGCTGCAGGGCAGCACGAGCTCTGAGGGCCAAGTGCTTTGTGACTGGTGACACTCTCACAGCTAGTGTTCCTTCTCAAGAAGTCAAGGATCCATGACGGGGAGCAGTCTTGACCTCACAGACAGACAGAGTTGTGTCCTCCTCCTGTCCACATCCGTGCTTCAGGCTCCTGTAAACCAGAACATGGGGCCCAGGCTGCCCTCCAAGCCAGCCGGCTGGCCTGCCCCAGATGGCTGCCCCAGCCACCCCACAGACAGTCTACAGTGGGCCCGAGTCTCCCAGCAGATGGGCTATGAGCATTGGCAGTGCCAAGCTTCCCACTGAGGCAGCAGACTCAGAGCTGCGCTCGGGCACCACACGCCCAAACACTGGCTCCAGAGAGCTGGGGCAGGAGGAGACCCAGGCCAGGGCTGCCCTATCTGTGCCCCTTCCTGGCACAGGCACCCCTGCCCACCGGGGACCATCTGGCCCACAGGTGCCACGGGTTCCCTTTACTCTGGCAAGCAGGAGTTTTTGACAGGCCTCAAAAGTCTTTGACAGGTTAGAAGTTTGAGACTTTATCAGTTATTCTTTTGCATTTAAAAGATATCAAATGCTCTCTGCTAAGAAAATAAACAATACAGAAGTGTGCAAGTAGATAAAAAATCGAGCGTATCGTGTCTAGTGGGACTCCATCTTCAGCAGGTACCTCTGATTTCATGCATGTGTATGTACATACATACACACAGACCTACACAATCTCCAAAGTGTACTGTTAGTGTGGGAGAAGCAAGCTGCAGCTTCTTGTTCAAGATTAAAGCATTGTAAACCTTTTTATTTTATAAAAAATAAAAAAAATTCATAAGAGAATAGCGGTAGTTAATGCACCATGTATCGTTACTTTCAAAGTAGTCATTCGTAGTGCAAGACAGTGACACAGCAGATCCTCTTGCAAAGAAACAAGCTGACTGCATACACATTTGACACACATTCTCCCAGAGGAATGACTGACTTTCAGGCTCTCTGTGTGTTCCAGACACAGCTAAACATCACAATACCACATGTAGATTTTCTTTCTCTTTCTTTTTTTTGATACTGGGAATTGAACTCAGGACCTTGTACTTGCTAGGCAGGCACTGCTCTCCTCGGTCTGTGGAGTTTCTTATTGAAGTCTTTAGTGCTCTGAGGTAGGCATTCTTATCCTTGTGTGTCAGTGAGGAAACAGGCAGGCACAGAGAAATTAAGCCACTGGTCCAGGGTCTCAGAGCTGGGGAGGGTGGAGCTGGGTTGGAATCCAGGCAGAGGACTCTCAGGTACCTCCCAGGCAAAACTCACCAGTCCCTGAACCCCAGCCAGAGAAAGACAAGACTGCATGCAGGTTGGGAAGGGCGTGGAGACACTGTGTGTCTTTCACAGCCCACTTGGTTCATTACCTGAGTAGGACGATTCCACATGTTACTAGGCTCTAAGCAGAAAGCAGATGTGACCCAAGCTGCTATGGAAAGGATGAGCTGGGAGACGGACAGGGACACCAGGAGTAGGCAGGTGGGAGGTGACAGTGGACATGACCAAGTAGAGAGAGGTGGCCACTCATGACCTACCAGAACCCTGTTTCTTCTTCCCAGTAGAGAAGAAAGGGCTGGAAGCTTTTTAAGGAGTGTCAGGCAAATGGTCAGAGCCAATAGGGAAGAACAAAGATTTCTGCTCCGTGCTGTGACTTGGTGCCAGCAGAGGGTGCTGCGGGACAGTGTCAGATCCTGTTGGCACTGCAGTTAAAACCCACAGCTCAGGGCCACCCAGACTGCCTAGGCAGAGCACCTGACATCATTGCTATGCAAGGCCTTATTCAAGACACTCTGCTTTTGAGAAGAAAGGTTTGTTTGCTTGTAATTACCAGCACCAGAACTGGGAACTCCTAGCCGTGAGATCACTCCATTCCTCCGCACACATCTTGCCCAGGTTTGGCAAAGGTGGGCTGTGTGCCGAGAAGCACAGTTCTGACACACTTCCACTGCCTCCTGCATCTGTTGATGTAAGTGAGCGTGTTTTTACAGTTGACACTGATGTTTAATGTTTAAACCACAGCTCTGTGTATTGTGGGTGCTTCTAACAAGCCCCTGAGGGAAGGATTTTCCTGTGATGTTTCAGGGCCCTGCCACACAGTCTTTGGGTGCTGTTGACCTGCTGTGCCCAGCCCAGGCCCTGGCCTGACATGGCAGCCTGCAGCAAGCACTTTGCAGTGAGAAGTACAGCTAGTGCTAGTGAGGATGTAGAACAACAGGTGCTCACAGCCAGGACTGGCAGGGTGTAAATTGGTGCAACCACTTGGAAAACTGTTCTGCAGATCAGTAAAATTAAATTTTATCATGCCTGGTAATTTAGCAGTTTCTTTCCCAGGTATAAACCTGGAAGGGAAAGTGTTCGTGTACACTAAGAGGCGCTTCTGTGAATGCTGCTTATAGTGCAGTTCAGTTGTCAAATGATTGAAGGAGTTCCAGTGCCCTCCAGAAGCAAAAATGATTTAACTTCATGATGGCAAGAAGACCAGTCTCAGCACAACATGGCCAAATTTCATGTACACAGAATTAAGAGGAAGAAAGGAAGGCTGGTGGTGGCACACACCTGTGATCCCAGCACTTACAGGAGGACCGCTGCAAGGTTGAGGCCAGTCTGGACTACATAGTGAGTTCAAGGCCAGCTTGAACTCCGTTGCATGACCTCGTCTAAGAGAGGCGTGGGGGAGAATGCTAACAGATGGCAAATGCAGGTTGCCAGTTGTCGACACTGCTTGGGGGAGTTCACTTGCCACACACTCCAAGCAAACAGGAATGAATTATGCTGCTAGAACTCAGAACAGTGGAAGGAAAGGGACAGAAGTGGGCTTCCAGAAGCTCATGCTGCTCTTCTGGATCTGGGTGGTGACTAACCAGGTACTTACTTTGTGATCTTTTCTTTAACCATGATGTGTGTATTCTTTACCTTATATTTCTAGATTATAGTTTAAGGGTAAAAGATTTTTAAAAATTTTTAAAGCTTGGGGGAAGTCAGACTTGGTTGGAATTCTAGTTCAGCCTCTTGTCAGCTGTGGTGGTGTGCGATAAGGCACCTAACTCCTCAGCTTCATTTTCCTCATCTGTAAAACAGATAAAATCATCCCATGAATAGACAAGCACATAAAATTAGATAATTACAGCATCACCTGAAGCACAGTACAGGGAAATTGCAGTGGACCTAGTTACTAAGTATATCAGCAACTTGACTAAAAAGTAACAGAAAACCTAACTAACCATAACTAAAACAAATAGGGATTTTTAAACATCATTTGACAAGAGGTTTGGGGCTGGGGAGATGGCTCCCTGGAAAGTGCCAGGGCCTGAGTTCAGTCCCCAGTTCTGCCAAAAAAAGTTTACAGGTAGGCAGCTGCAAGTGTCCATTTCTCTGTGACTTTTTGTTATCTCTTTCCACTTGATCACAACATGGCAATCATGAGCTCCAGACACTTCATTCTCACATCAGTGTCCCTAGCAGGAAGAAATGGGCAGGTGAGAAAGGACTTCCTTTTTATTATAGAGAAGAATCTGCCCCAGAAATCCTTGGCAAGGACTCCCGTGTGTGACATTGCCTGGAACTGGCCACATAGCAGCTCTAGAAAAAACTTAAAAAGCAGCATCTGAGAAAGGGGAATTATATGGCCATAACTAGCTTTGGTTAAAGAATTTGAATCCTAACTCTGCATCAGAGCTACCTGAGAGGGGTTGGGGTACGTGTGGAGGGGGATGTACGTGCACACCCACACACAGATTTTATGGATAGATACACAGTCACACCTTGGTAATTGTCTGTTTTGAATCTCATCGTATTTGATCCTTGCTGCGTTTTGATGCAAGAATTTTGTCCCAATACTGGTAATTAGCATGTCAACTAGAATTCATTGGTGTCAATTACCTTGCATCTTGCTGCCCTTTCCAACTAAAACACTTCGTTTCATACTCATCACCAATTAATAATGCATACCAAGGTACCAATACACATATGTGCAATCCCCCCATCCCGGCCAGACCATCCAAATCAGTCACTGGCAGTGGAGCTGGGGCTGGTGCTCAGTGGTGGTTCAGTCACCTAGTACATGTGAGGCTCGGAGTTTGCTCCATGGCATAGGAAAAAAACAAACAAACAAACAAAAACAGTGGTAGTTAATTTTTCATGACAGTGGTTGAAAGCCGTTGCCACAGTTTGAGATCCAAGCTGGTCCCAACCTCTAGGGCAGGCAGGGGCTCCACATGAGAGTGGACAGGAATGTGTTGAAATCATGTTGATGCTTTGGTAGTGACCTCCGGGGCTGGGTCCCATGCAAGCCTGCCACATTCCTTATGCTTCCTGCCATCCTTCCTGCATTCCATGTGCCTCTCAAGTGGCAGCTCCCAGAACAGGGTCTTGGCTTGTTCCCCACATCTAGAACAAGACCAGCACACAGCAGGTAGTGGCAGGGTGTGTTGGGCAAAGGGGAGCATGTCACATCCATAGTTGGATTTAACCTCCCAGCCTCCCTTTGGGGTCAGGACACTAACACTATGCCCATTTTTGTACCATGGGAGAGGCAGTTGAGCCTCAGACATCTGAAGTCATTTGATCTAAGTCACACAGGGAAGAGGCAGCAAGTTCAAGTCCTGACTGCTGCAGAGCATCTGCCCTTAGCACGTCTCATGTTACATCTCTTGGAAGGCAGAACCCTTACATGCTCCAGCCGCCATCAAAGCCCAGGAAGCCTGACTATCCCTTTTCTCCCTTGGGCAGCTCATCACCCTGCGGGGCTCCATCCTGGAGGATGCCACGCCCACGGCCACCAAGCACGGCACTGGACGGGGCCTGCCTCTGAAGGACGCCCTAGAGTATGTCATTCCCGAGCTCAACATCCATTGCCTACGCCTGGCACTCAACACTCCCAAGGTGACAGAACAGCTGCTGAAACTGGACGAGCAAGGGGTGAGCTGGGACATGGCATGGGCAGAGCATAAGGTGGGCCCTGGGAACACCATCCTGCACCCTACTCATGCCTGTCTTCTCCACTTACTTTTGACATGTAACATAGAAGTCTACTTACACTACTTTGAGCAACAGGAGGGATTTGTTAGTTTTAAGTATGCCAAGAAATAGCCTGAGGATGTCATAGCCACTAGGGAAAAATTTCCAATGTGCATATTTGTGTGTGTGTGTGTGTGTGTGTGTGTGTGTGTGTGTGTGTGTGTGAGACAGGCGCGCGCACACACACACACACACACACACACACACAGAATGAGAATTTTCTTCCCCATCTCTGCCCACAGGTTCCCTCGTTTCTCTGGCTCTCCTGCAGCCCCCAGCACTCCTGTTCGGCTTATTGCCATGTGCAGACCTAGCTAGCTGCATCTCAGGCCTAATAGAGCTGCTGACTAGCCCCACTTAGGTCATGCATCTGTTAGTGGCTCAAGGGGCAAGGCAATCAGGGAGTACCTGAAGCAAGCGTGGTTATTGAATGAGAGTCTCTTGCAGATTTTGCTTTAGTTGGCAGAATCTCAGCCAGCACCCATCCATCTTCTGCAGGCAGCTGGCCATGGCCACCCCATCTCTACTCAAGAGTGGTATTCATTGCCTGCTGCCTCCACCTGAGGTGGAGAAAGTGGGTATCATGAGGGCCTTCTTCTCCTTTTTCTTTTTAATTTTTGTAAGTACGTGTTTGCGGTATATAGTGTTTATATTCATCATAGGGAGTTGGTATGTGTATATCACACATCTTGATTTTTTTACTTCCCCTTCCCTCCCCCACCATCCCCCATTGGATGCCTTCCTGTGCTTCTCTGGAATGAGAGGGAGGAGAAAGGAAGCTGGATTATGTCCCCAGCCCCATGGCTCTGGGCTCTTGAGTGGTCCCCTCAACCCCCTCTGCACCCCTGCAGTCACTCACACAGCCACCCTTGTGTCCACAGCTATGCCGGAAGCACAAGGTGGGCATCCTATACTGCAAAGCCGGCCAGAGCTCTGAGGAGGAGATGTACAACAACGAAGAGGCCGGTCCAGCCTTCGAGGAGTTCCTTGAGCTCCTGGGCGAGAAGGTCTGCCTGAAGGGTTTCACCAAGTACGCTGCCCAGCTCGATGTCAAGAGTAAGTGAGGCCCGCTTGGATGGGGAGCAGCTGCCATGCGCCCACCTGGTGGGGATACCAGGAGCTCTCAGGCACCACTGTGCAAACCAAACTAGTGCAGCGTCTTAAGGGAAACAGTTTAGCAGGTGTTCTGGTGACTCGGAGACCCCTGCTGCTAGGCTCGGCAGCTACACTCCTAGACTCTGGCTGCCTGGGAGTGCTGTGGAATCAGAATGGTGGGAGTTAGGCCGTGGCAGCCTGGTGCAGGCCACCTGACTCATGGCTCACGTAGACAACAGTTCTCAGAGGAGTGTATACCACATGATGTTCCTTACATATCAGTTATTCACAAAGTGAAACACTCTTTGGAATCCATTCTTATGGAACTCTAAAGAAAAGCGAAGGAATGATAGACACTACATTCCAGGTGGTGGGCACCTCTGCAGGGACCATGCATAGGACTGGGAAGAAGCTCTGAGGGTCAGAAGTGGCCTATTTCCTAAGGCAGTGGCAGGAGTGGCAGGTACATGTTGCCATGATAGCAGTCATGCATGTGTACATAGATGTTTCTGGTGTGTGGATTGGAAATGTTTTATAAGTAGTTAGGGAGATGGGTGGGTTACATTCCTGGGTGTCACGACTTCCCAGGCCTTAACTGTATATAGCGTTGTCATTGGGTTGTGACTCAGTCACCTCAGCTCCCTCATCCATACAGTGGGGGTTATAGCTGTGCTTACGTCAGGCATGTAGGGAGGCTTAGTACACTCCTGTTATCAGAGGTCCTGAGCTGTTCCTCCATGCTGGGTACTTCCTAGAGGACAGCAGCTATCCAAAGAGGGCCGAGGAGGCAGTAGTCTCCAGCATGCCTGGCATCAAGGAAGTGGCGAGTGTAAGTGTGACTGTTGGAGGTGTTGATTTCTTTCTTCTCTAAAGGAGCAAGACAGGCAGGAAAAGGAAGAGGGGGTGTATTCTCCCCTTCTTAGACAAGTGCTTGCGCCTGAGCCTCAGGGTCCGCCTTCACACCATGAAGCTATACTCCTCCCCCACGCCGAGTGCTCCCTGCGAGGACCGGGTGCCCAACACAGGCCCGATAGAGAACTGATGTTCTCTTCCCACATGGCCTCTGTGGAAGCAGATTTTCTCAGAGAACCCTTGAAGTAGTGTCCTCGCACAGTACCCCCAGCTAACAGGTAGGCCTGCTCCTGGCTTGAGCAGCCACATGGAGCTCACCTGGCTCTGGCATTGGCTGACTGTGGCTTCTGTTTCCTCAAATGACTCTGAGAGACACCTGGAAATACTGTTACAAAAACAGCTTTGGAGAGGTTGGAGTGTAGCTCAGTGGTAGAGCCCTTGTCTGGCATCCACAAGGTCCTGGGTTCCACCCCCAGTGTTGGGAGAAAGAAAAAAAAAAAAGATAATGAACAGTGAGCCAGGTGCAATAGCGCACCACACCTATTGTCCCAGCTACTGGGGAGACTGAGACAGGAGTGCTATTGAGCTCAGGAATTTGAGACCAGTCTGTGGGGAAGCACTATAAAAAAGAAGAAGAAGAAGAGGAGGAAGAAGAAGAGGTCAAATCTAGCAGATCTGGAGGCAGCCAGACTAAATTCTGGCTCCAACTCTATTACAGTGTGACCATTCTGTGCCTCAGTTTCTCTCTCTAAAATCTGAAGTCTCTATTTAAGTGTGCCTCTCCCTAATCTGTCCTATTAAAGAGAACTAGCACCCTGTCACAATAATCACTTCCTTGCTTTCTTCATATCATGCGACCCCAAACAGTAGAACTGTGTGTGTGCATGTGCGTGTTTGTGTGTGTGGGGGGGGGGGGGGGGGTGGCTGTTGATTGAACCCAGAACCTCCTGCACATAAACTTCATACCCTAACTCATTTGGTCTGCTTTTGCATGTAACTTGAATGGAATCATACAGTACACGCTCCTTTGTACCTGGTATCTTTCACACAGGTTATATTTATAGCATTCACCCCTGTGGCAACTATGCCTTCTTCCTTTTCCTGGCGGTATATTTTTTCCATGGTATGTCTGTCCCACAGTGTGTTTGTCCATTCTTTTGACTGACAGTAGAAGATCCTTGCACCCAACTGCAGGGTATATGCACATGGTTTGTCTAGGCTGCATCCCAGGAGAGAAATTGGTGTGCTGCCTGTTTAAGAGACATAGGGAAGCTTGCAGCTTAGCTCAGTTGTTTAAGAGACATTGCCGAAAAGTTTTTCAAAGTGATTACACCAATTTACACACCTAAGCAGCCACATAAAGGGCTCTGGTTTCTCTCTCTCCTCACTAACTCTTGGTACTGTTAGGCTTTTTAAATTTTATCAAACTAGCGATTGTATAACAAGAGGTTTCCTTTTTATGTAAATTTATTTCATTTTAAAGAGTGGACTTAAGTAAAAGCATCAAGTTGAAAATCAACACAGATGGTATGTGGGATATGGCAAAAACTCAGAGGCTCTGGAGATGTGGTACTAACTGGTGTTTCCATCCTAGCCGATTCCACGGGCACCCACTCCCTCTACACAACGTACCAGGACTACGAGATCATGTTCCACGTCTCCACGCTGCTCCCATACACACCCAACAACAGGCAGCAGGTCAGTGGTTGCTAGCTGGCACACACCTGGCCCCAGGTGCACCCCCTCCCCAGGCTGTCTGCTGGCTCCCTGCCCAGACTTGGCTCGCAGTGTCTTCCCGTGGGGGGATGGAGGCCCTTGAAGACCCTCAGTGCTGTGATCATTTCACTTGGAGGTAGAGGCTAGGCCAGCTGTTAGGTATGGTTCTTGTCTCAGTTGCCTTTCTGTCATTGCTGGGACAAAATACCTGACACCCAAGATTAAGGAAGGAAAGGTTTATTTAGTTCAGTGTGTGGAGGTTTCAGTCTGTACTTTGCTGGCTCCAAGGCAGGGTGCCACACGGCAGAGGGCAGCAGTGCAGACAGCAGAAAACAGCAAAACAACAAGCACAAAAGAGAGGAGTAGTGGCAGCAGTGGCAACAGAGAGCAAGTCTGACTCTCTTATGTTGCCTTCAGGCTGTCCACCCCAGGCCGTAGCACTCACACCCATAATCCCAGCACTGGATTATGAATTAATCACAAAGTCTAGATGTCTGCCCCATGACTGTATGAGGCTTTGGAGGCACAACTAGACGCAAACCATAACAGTTCTCTGCTGCTCTTTGGCCACACCTCTTGCCTCTCTACCTATACCGATTCCCCCCAGCATCTCCTAGGTCATCGCAGGTCTTATGAAAAAGAATAATGAATCAGTTAACATTATTTTGACCAAAAACTCAAGCCAATCGGAATAAGGAAAAATTGGGATTTGTGGGGTATAGCTCTAAGGTGCTGGTCATGTGCTGGCTGTAGGTATACATGGGTTCAGGGCTGAGGAAGTCTTAGGAGTCTTGTCTGTTTCTCACCTCTACTTTTGTTTGTAGTGACTTTCCTTACAGGTCTTCCTAGCCCTAAGTCACGTCCCTCTAGCTTGACCATGCCAGGGAAAGGGACTTTTTCTGTTGTCCTCGAGCTGTTCCTGGGCTGAATCTTGCTGAACCATTCACTTGCTAGTCCCTGGCCTGCTGTCTGGCTTGCATGGGGACAGGCCAAGCTTGAGGTACTTGCCCACCCAGGGAGAGTGAGTGGGGTCAGCTGAACATGAGCAGGACGGATGTCAATGTGGTGCTTCCTTGGAGGGTGTAAGTGTAGCTTCCAGAAGCAGAAAGAATCCTGGGTAGGCAGCAGCAGCACCCAGCTGCACCTGGGCCTGGGGAGCAACTCTTGCTGGTTTTTTATGAGTAGAGTCCCCACAGAGTACTAAGAATTTTTCCCTGTTGGTACAAATGACGTTGTACATTTTTAGGCCAAAGATGGTCACCTATCAGCAATTTCATAAGGTCGACTTAATAATGTGCTCTTAAGGGTATCACCCTAGCTGGGTACCATAGGTCACTACAGCCAGGAGTTCAGTGCCAGCCTAGAAAACTTATTGAGATCCTCCTCCAAAATAATAATAATAATAAATTTCTTTGTGGGACTAGACTTTAGATTGAATCCTTTCTTTACTACACATTAGTTGTGTGACCTCAAGTAAATACTTCTCCTCTCTGAACCTTGGTCCTTTTTGGACCTTCTTCTGTGAAATGGGCCAGATGGTCATACTCCATGTCATTAAGAAAAGTCCTTTGCTCCCATGCCCAGGTGTCCTGCCTGCCCTGCTCCCAGTTATGTGGGGGAAATGCATGGCCTGTAGAGATAAACAGAAGTGAGGTGGTGGCCATGGTGCACACTCCCGTAATCCCGACACTCTGGGAGGCTGAGGCAGAAAGATCACAAGTTCAAGCCCAGCCTGTGCAATTGAATGTAGCTCAGTGGAGAGGCCCTGGATTCAGTCCACAGTATTACACACACACACACACACACACACACACACACACACACACACAGAGTGGATTAAAATTCTGGCTCTTTCCATCTATTACTTCATGACAAAGAGCAAGTCCTTTAACCTCTGAGTTTCTTATCTCCAAAGAAGGTGAAAAGAGCTGTTGCCTTACAGAGGTGTGAAGGCTTAGTGAGGCCGTGAGTTGTGGCTGTCAGATGACCCTAATACAGGATTGGCCACAGCACCCAGCTCCTTCACCTCGCCATTTACCATGCAATCAGAACACACAAGAAGAGCTAAGAGATCAGGGAAGAATGAGCTGAGCTGCTAAGTATGTCTGGATTTTACACCAGAGCACCTCATGTAGAGTTGCAAGGGGCTGCTGTCTGTGGATCTCATCACAGTCTTAGATTCCTTGGTGGATATGCAGAGACTCATGTAAATAAGAACAGTGTAATCTCAGCAATTAGGCAGAATACCAGGACTCTGTCACTGTGGGTGGAGACACCAGCTTCTTCCTCAGAGACTGACAAGCAGAGGGGAGAGGAGAGAACTCCCCTGGGCCCACCCAAAGCCCTGCTATCCCAGCCTTTTCAGCTGAGGTGCCCCAGGAGGGATGTGGCCTGGAATCAGCTTGCCCATGTTCTGGTCAGACTGCCATTGTCCATGAGTATGGCTTTGAGCACATCGAAGGCCACCAGCCTGTGCTGTCCTTTAGTAAGTATAGCTTATTGGGCACTTCTGTATGTCAGGCAGTGTCCTGGGTGCAGCTGTGGGCACGGAACACAACAGACAAAATGCCTGGTCTTCTGGCACCAACAGTTGGGTGGGAGAAAACAGAAAAAAACACATGGGAGGGCTGGGGTGATAGCTCAGCAGTCTTAGCACCTGCCTGGCAAGCACAAGGACCCGGGTGCAATCCCCAGTACCACATGGCAGGCTGGCCCTGGAACCCCAGGTGCACTGTGCCAGCCACTGAAACCAGGCATGGTGGCACACACCTGCATGCCAGCACTGAGGAGACTGAAACAGGAGGGTCACTATGAGTCCAAGCTGTGTAGTGAGACCCTGTAAATAAAGAAAGAAAAAGAAAAAATATATTAAAAAGAAAGAAAAACATGGGAGAAAGAAAGCAACTATAAGGCAAAACTGGGCCAGTGTTGGGTCCACAGGAAAGGGACTTTGCAGCAAAGGCCTTAGGAGGTGGTGAAGGAAGTAATGTGGAGAACCTGAGGCCAGGGCACAGCCAGTGTAGAGGCCTGGGAGAGCACCTGGGGCTAGCAGTGGGGTGGGCCACTTGCGCCCCCTGGGCAGCAGAAGGGACTTTGTCCTTGAGCCTGAGTGAGATGGGAGCACAGGTGCTCTGAGCAGGAAGGAATGCGACCCGACTCCAGTGCATGCAGCTGCCTCCTTCTGGCTGCTTGTGGGTACAGACTGCAGGCACAGGAGGGGAACAGGGAGATGGCAAGCACCTGCTGCAGTGGTCCACGCCAGTCCCTTCGAGCCAGTCTGTGACACTTCCCTCTGACATCCACTTCCCAGCTGCTGAGGAAGAGGCACATAGGGAATGACATCGTGACGATCATCTTCCAGGAGCCAGGGGCGCTGCCTTTCACTCCCAAGAACATCCGTTCCCATTTTCAGCATGTCTTCATCATCGTCCGAGTGCACAACCCCTGCACTGAGAATGTCTGCTACAGGTATGTCTGCTGCAAGGCGGGCCCCCATGCGTGCCCGTAGAACCCCCGACCCCTACTCAGTAACCCAGGCCCAGGCTCCTAGCTGGGTCTGCACACTCTGGGGAACCCTTCGCAAGGTGTGCTGCTTCTCATTTTTTGAAAATGGTTTGAAATCCACAGGCTGTCATAGTGTGTGCAGATAAAAACTCCCTCAAATCACCCAGCTGCCTTCATGATTAATGCGATTCTTGTGTTCCCTGACCCTTCAGGCATGTACAGCGAATCATACGAGTGTTCCTTTTCCACTTTGAAATGTCATGCACACTGTTCTGCATCTGTTTTTCTCAAGCCACAGTCTCCGAGATCCTTCCATTCCAGCACATAAAGCACTTTGCTTCCTTCTGATTGTGCCACGTTCTGTGGTATGGCTGCGAGCTAATCTCCCGCCATCCTCCATTAGGGGGCACTGGGCTTACTTCCTGGCAGTGAATGACCTTGTTTCTGCTCATTGCTCCATGACCAAGTGTGCAGCTGTAGGATAAATTCCTCAAATAGAAGCCCCAGGTCAAGGTCAAGGGAATGTGCACTTGGTAGTCTTGGTGAAACTGCCAGAGCTCACCCGTTTCTTCTGGCGGCTGGGTGTCCAAGAGAAGGGAGGCACAGTCCGACGGGCAGTGCTCACTGGCAAGAGCCACTGTGCTGGGTGTGGTCTCCTGGCTGCTGGGAGCCTGGTGCATGACAGAGCCACCTGGTGGGCGTGTCCCAGGCACAGGGCCTCCTTCCCCAGCCCATCTGTTCCTGGGACATAGAGGGGCAGCTGCCTTGGGCTCTACCTAGGGCTCAGGCCACTTAGGTGATGCAAGAGTTTAAAGGAGCATGGAAGGACTAGGGAGATAGATCAGCAGCGTAAGCATCTGCCTGGCAAGCGCAAAGTCCCGTGTTCGATCCCCAGTACCAAAAAAAAGAATGAAAAGGAGCATGGTTGCTTGGCAGCTGAGAGGTGGCGCTGGTGAGGGGAGGTTGGAGATGTTCACACATACCCAGATCTGATCTTCTTGTGATCAGAGGTGGAGGCTGAGTTGGCCTGGTGGCTCTTCTGTCCCCTGCCTCTCCCTTTCCTCCAGGCCACCTTCTGCCTCCCCAGGAAGCCCCTGCTTGGTCTCTTCCAAGGAGAAGATGCCAACTTTTCTTACTTTGTACAGTCTAATTTAAAATATTTTTATTATGCAGTATTTTAAACATTCTGAAAAGTTCAGAAAATAATGTAACAGACACCCATGTACCCACCACCAGATTTAACAGATGTTACCATTTTACCTTAATTGCTTCAGCTCTCCTGCCAGCCCCACCCCTTGGTTTTTTGAGACAGTATCACTATATAGTTCAGGCTGGCCTCAAACTCAACAGCAGCCCTCCTGCCTCAGCCTCCCAAGTTCTGGGATTACAGGTGTGTGCCACCATACCCAGCTCATCTCTGTTTTTTAAAAAAGAATCCTTTATAGCTCTAAGCAAAGTAGCCCCTTACCCACCCGTTTCTACCACGGGGCACACCTGACCTGTGTCTCTGCTGTAAGAAGGAGCTTGGGCCCAACCCATCCCCCCTGACCTGACCTGCACCCCAGCCCCTGGCCTTCCCCTCGGGGAATTTCTAATCATCTTTCAGATGCTTCTGACACTCTCCAGTGGTCGTTGCTCCCTCCCTGTGCCCTTGCCATACAGGTTTCTGCTATCACTGCTCACAGCATAAAAACAACTTACTCGCCGTTGCGGTGGCTCACACCCGTGATCCTAGCACTCAGGAGTCTGGGGCAGGATTGCATTGTCAAGGCCGATCAGGCTATGCAATGAAACCCGACTCAGAAAACAAACCAAAAGAAAAGCACATGAACAAACTTGCTGGCGTAGCTTCTTCCTCCCTAAAATGCAACCTGGTGTCACAGTTACCTTCCTCTGTCTGTTATAGCCCAGTGCTTGACCCCTAGTAGGCCCCAAAGGGCTGACTGGATAAATCCCTGGCCCATACACTGTGTGTGGGCCCTGGGGATTTTTAAGCAGTAACTGTGAACATTCTAGAAAGACTGAGCTACAGGCCCACAGGCCTCCTGGTGGTCGTGTTGTGTCCTGGTTGTATAATGAGTTGTCAGCCTTTCCCATTTCTGAATGGCACACCAGCAGTGTCCCTGCCTGTGGGTTGTAAGCAAGCCTCCTCCCTCCTGCTAGGAAGTCAGGGACCAGCTGTTCTGATTGTCCAGAACCTTCAATAGTTTGCAGTTTCATGATTTTTATAATCATGAGTCAGAACAGTGAGAAAAGCCAAAATCTGTCCTTCCGGGCCACCAAGTGCTGAATGAAATTACAAAGCTCTTCCCATCTGTAGAGCACAGTGGGATCACACCACGAAGTGGGGTTAAGGGCCTGGCCCAAGTATGGTGGCACACATCTGTGATCCCAGCGCTCAGGTAGCTCTAACAGGAGGATCACTGCCAGTTCGAAGCTAGCCTGGGCTGCATAGTGAGAGCTTGTCTGAAAAAACAACAAAAGGCGTGAAGGGATTGCAAGTCATCTTATCCATGCCCCTGCCCAGGGCCAACACCGTGCCCATAGAGTTGCCACAGAAAAAAAAATGTGCCTGTTTGTGCAGCTTTTGAAGATCATCTTTCTGTTGCAGAAAATAATATGCCTGCACCAGCACCAGGTGGGAATCTGTCTCTTCTCAGTATATTTGTCTGTTCCAGACCTAGTTGTTATTTAAGCTGGTATTGAATGCCTGTGTAGTGCTGGGGAAACTGAGGCACCAAGGATGGGACCTGCCTATGTGGCTGTCCTGGGGCACAAAGGGACAGTGAACAAAGTGGATAAAGAGCAAGAGGTCTAGCTCACCCACCAGGGTCATGCAGTGGCCATCTTTACCAGTCCCCTGCACTGGTTCTGTTGTGAGGCCTCTGCAGATTGCTAGCTTACAGTTACTTTTTTTCCCCTCCTGTACTAAATATTGGATCCTGAGCCTTCTCACTGAGCTATACTCGCTGAGCCCTTTTTAATTTTTTTATTGTTATTTTGAGAAAGAATTTCCCTAAGTTACCCAGGCTGGTTTCAAACTTGTCCTCCTGTCTCAGCCTCCCAGGGTCCTGGTATTATAGCCATATGCCACCTTGCCTGGCTCTGTTATCACTGTCTGCCACCTGTGTGTGGGCAGGTTCAGGAATCTGGTATGGGAAAGTGAGGCATAGAGGGATTCCTATTAGAGGGAGCTATCACTCCCCTCTCCCCCAGTCTTGGCAGGGTCAGAGGGTGCTAGGAGAAGTGCCCAGAATCTGCAGGAGCTGAGGCCTGGGAGAAGGGCCTCCTAACAGGAACAGTGCTGAGGATAGGACCAAGGACCAAAAGTCAGTGTACCAGGGAAGGAAGGAAAGGGAAAAATACAAGTGTGCATCACTTGATATTGGAACACGTTCTGAGAAAGGCGTCATTGGCTGATTTCATCATGTAAACACAGGATGTACTTACACAAGTGCCTACAGTGTCATAGGTGATGTAATTTTATGGTACCACTGTCACATAAGTGACCTGTTAAGAGCTGGGCATGGCAGCATTTGGGAGGCTGAAACAGGAGGATTGCTTGGAGTTTTTGAGGCCAGCTACATAGTGAGTTTGACAGTAGCCTGAACTACATAGCAAGACCCTGTTTCAAAAAAACAGATATATAAGTGGCCTAGAGATTATGATGTAGTATAGGACCGCACTTCAGCCTCTGTCCCCAGCTTCCTATCTCCCACCAGTGTTTCCATTGGCCAGACTCAAATGGAAGCCAGATGTCAGGACCAAGGTGACATAGATATAAAGGTGGCACTTCCAGAACAGGGCAAATGGGAAGCAGCACATACCACCAAGGCCCTATATGGTCTGGCTGCTGCTGACCTTCCCAGCCTCCTGCTCCTTGCTCCCTGGGCTCTGCCTCAGGCCCCCAGGGTTTCTTCTACCCTGTGGGTACCCTTCTACATAGCTGTGGTA